TATGTCCATCATTGGGTGGTGTGTCCATCACGGGGGTATGTTCATCAATGGGTGGTGTGTCCATCACAGGGGTGTGTCCATCATTGGGTGGCGTGTCCATTGCAGGGGTGTGTCCATCATTGGGTGGTGTGTCCATCACAGGGGTATGTCCATCATTGGGTGGTGTGTCCATCATGGGGGTATGTCTATCATTGGGTGGTGTGTCCATCATTGGGTGGTGTGTCCATTGCAGGGGTGTGTCCATCATTGGGTGGCATGTCCATCACAGGGGTATGTTCATCATTGGGTGGTGTGTCTATCTTGGGAGCGTATCCATCATAAGGGGAAGGCATGGCAGCCGGGGTTGGAGGCAGCTGCTCACACTGCAGCCTCTGTCTGGACTCAGAGAAGAGTGCTGGTGCTCAGCTTAGTTCTCCTTTTTTATTTGATCCAAGAGCCCGGCCCATAGGATGGAGGCATCCATATCTTCCCAACCCCCAACTTACCCAATCTAGAAACTACTTCATAGGCATGTTTGTTTCCATGGTGGTGATAAATCCAGTCAAGTTAACAATCCATATTGACCATCACATACTGTAATCCTAGCATCTGAGAGTGAGGCAGAAGGATCAGGAGTTCAAGGTCACTGTCATCGAGATAGCAAGTTCAGGGCCAGCCTGTCATAAATAAAAATGAGATGCCTCAGTGGGTAAAGGTACTTGCTGCCAAGCCTGAACAACTGAGTTTGGTTCTGGAGTCCACATGGCAGAAAGAAACAACTGCAAGTTGTCCTTGACCCTCCACTGTGTGCTGTGGCTCTCACACACACATGTGCACACGCACGCACTAAATACATAATCATCTAAAAATTATTTTTAAAAGAAATCGAAACAAACCTGAGCAGTTTATAATCTCACTCTCAAAACTGAATTCTTAGTCATTTCTAAGCAGTAAATAACCAATGAAGATGATTTTATCTGTATTTTTTAATTTAAGAAAACACGAATTAAAAAAAAATTCTCATTTTCCAAGTAAAAATTAGTATAGCAAATATGAGGAGTTCTATTGTTTGTTTGTTTTTTTTTTTTTTTTTTTGAGACAGGGTCTCACTTTATTGATCAGGCTGGCCGCTAACTCACAGAGATCCACCTACCTCTGTCTCACAAGTGCTAGGATCAAAGGCTTGGGCTACCGTGCATGGCAAGTATTGTCTTTTTAAATGTGTTTTGAATTTTTTTTATTTATGATTGTGGGTGTGCATGTGCCGTAGTGCAGTTTGGGGAAGTCAGAGGACAACCCTCAGGAGTGAGTTTTCTCTTGCCACCTTGCAGAATTCAGGGATGGAACTCAGGCTGTTAGGTCTGCAGGAGAGCCCTCTGCTTACTGAGCTGCACACTGTCGCCCAGATCTGGTTTTAAAACCGCAGCTCTGGCATTGCTGTCTTAGGAAGCACTACGCCTGGTACCCTGTAGGATGCTGGCACGCATGGACCTCTGAGTAGCTGTCTTCTGATTCTCCCGTATTACAGGGCCACGTGGCAGTGGTTCTCCAGTTCTTTTCTGAGAGTAACTTGGTCAAGACCCAAGGTCTTTTAGGGCTCGAGAGTTTTAAGCAGTTTGTGCTTTTCTTTTGACAGAGCTGAGAAGCTTCAGCTGCTGAATCACAGGCCAATGACCGCGGTTGAGATCCAGCTGGTGAGTGGGGGAGGGACACTGGACTCAAGGGTTGTTTTGAGGGTTGGAGATGCAGAAAGGCAGAGAAGGAACAAGCCAAAGCCTGCACATCTGCCCCATGCTGTAAGTGAAGGGAAAGAGCAGAGGCCTCAGCACTTGGTCCTAGTTAATGTGGACATGAGAGAAAGGGAAGCTAGAAATGTAATTCCTTAAACGGAGTTGGCAGCCTGTGTCCCGCTGCGCTAGGCCTTTCTGGCCACGGCTTGCCTGTAGGGGTTATAGCCAACCAGATGTTGCATAAAAATGTTAAACTCAGAGTGTCCCCACACCCTCCTTTCCACATCTTTCTTTCCTCCTCACGTGTTGTCTTCCTCTCCGGCCCTCCTGGGCCAGTCTCCGAGCAGAGGCTGCTCTAGCTGATTCTCAGTTGTCCCTATTTCCTGTCGCTCCACCTCTGCTTGTGTTCTCTCTACTACACGGGACTCATTTCTGTCGCCATCTCACAGCGCAGCCTGCAGTCCTTCTGTCCTTCTGCCTGCCTCTGCACCTCTGTACATCCCTGTCCTGTCAGACAGGCTCCCAGTCAGCCCACTGGCTTCGAACCCACGATTCCATTGCCCTCAGCCTTCCAAGTACTGAGATTACAAGCAAGTGCGAGCACACCTCCTTACAGATCACTTTCTAAAACCATAAATGTCGTTTCATTTCCCTGTGTAAAAATATCTAGTGGGGCTTCAGCAATCATGGACAGAGAGAGAGTAGGGGTGCTTTAGGGGAGAAAGTGAAGATGAGGGCCCGGGAGAGGCTTCTTTCATGAGTTATGTGGCAGGTTCCTCTGTTACACAGGCAGAGCGTCAACAAGCAGTCCTGTCACCGCCAGAAAAGACTTTGGCTTTGAGAATTGGTAAATTGGTTTCCAAAGTTTGTCATAGAAATATGCAATTCTTGGCTGGGTGATGGTGGTGCATGCCTTTAATCCCAGCACTCAGGAGGCAAAGCAGCTGAACTCTTGTGAGTTCAAGGCCAGCCTGGTCTACAAAGTGAGTTCCAGGACAGCCAGGACTTCAGGGTTGGTGGCTCATGCTTGTGATCCCACTGTTGTAGAGGCAGAGGCTAGAGGATGGCAGTTTGTGGTCAGCCTGGGTCACATAATATACCCCTATCTTGAAAAAAATATAAATAAAGTTATAATAAAATATAATAAGTAAAATAAATATAATAAATAAAAATATAAATAAATAAAAAACAAGAACAAAAGCAGTCAGCTCTTGTACAATTTCCAAAAAGTATGGAAGTCAGTGGCTAAATTACCTCTTCAAGAATCTCCTATTCACAACATTTCAGAGGTTATAATGTACTTAATTTTTGACTAAAACCTTCATTGTCTTCCTAGAGATTTTTTTCTGTCCTTCTGAATGCATCCAAAATTAAATTATAAAAATTCCTTCTATCCTGGTGAGCTTCCTGGGGTACTTGGCCCTTATGCTAAACACAGGTCCCCGTCTGTGTGTCCTCATTGTTCTAGACATTAGACAGCTTACAGGAGAGAAGAAGATCAAGAAACCAATCCCGGTCCCTTGGGTTAAGGATCACAGTTGGGTCTCCTCCAGCTTTAATCAGCACCATATGCTGTCCGTGGCTGAGTGACAGATGGAGAGGAGGCATGAGGATTAGCATGGCCCCATCCTGAGCCCGTGGAGAGCTCTGGGGTTACTGAGAGCCACATCAGACACGTTCCAAGGGCCTAGTGAGTGTCACTTCAGTGTTGGAGGAGGACCAAGATCCTCACCTTTTATTCCAGTGAGAGGCTCTTTGGAGTCTGATTAGGGCATTGACATGGTTCCTCTTCTAAGCTGTGGTACCAGAGACAGAGGTAAGAGGGCTTCCTATGGGAGTAGGTTACAGGGTTATGGGAGCACAGAGGCCCCCCCAAAAGCCACCTATAAGCTGAAGACTCCAAGATACTAGAAGATTGTCTCAGTCCAGGTATGAAGTCCTCAGCATCAAGGAAGCTGATGGTTTAACAGTATGAAGCCTGACACGGGGCCTGAGCTCAGGGCCGGTATGTGTCCGACAGCCTAAAGGACAGAGCCTGAGCTGGGGTGTCCCAGGATGCCAGGGAAATGGTCTCCAGGGGACACAGTTGAGGTGAGAATGGTCTTGTCCTGGCACCTGTCACTTGGATGGCGCTCGCCTGTGTTGGAAGTAGACATTGTACACCAATCCATTACCTCACACTCGGGCTTCCAGAGACACAGCGCAGATGCACCCAGACTTTACCAGTTAGCCAACTGGTAAAGTGTGCTTCAGGACACAGACTGGCTGTCTCCTAAAATCACCCATCACTCCCGGCCAGGAGACCGGTGTGGTCTTACTTCAGGTGCTTCTCCTACAAACTCTCATTTCCCTGCAGCTAGACTGTTTTCTAGTCAGATTTCTTTTCCCTCCTCTAGAATTGGCTGCAAAGGTAGCAAGCTCTTTACCAGGGCTTAGAGCGGTCTGCTGTCTACCCGAGAGCATAGGAATGAGGGTTTCACAGATGCTGGAAAGCAGAGAGCTGGGGAACTTCTCTGTACTTCTTCATGTACAGCCATGCTCTCCACAGACTCTCAGAAAGCAGCTACACCACCATGCTTGTTAGAATTCAGTTGAGAGCAAGAAGTGCCTCTGCTGGGGTTTTTGTGGTCCCTTGGTGGCTGTCCCCTGACTGGGAGGCTCTGTGAAGGAGTGGGCCTGCTGTGTGACTCCAGCTTGCTCTACTGTCACCCATTTGGGACAGTCCAGGAGTCCTCTGTAGGTGTGTCAGTGAACCCTGTGAGCTGAGGTCATGGTCCTGCACGTTAAGTTCCATGGCTTACCACGCGGCCTCCCAGGCCCCCATAGGTGCTCACTGTAGCTTTAATTTAGTCCAGGAAGTTGAGGTTTCAGAGGCTACATGAGCTGCTGGGCCAAATAGCTGTAGGTCATCGCAGTTGTTACAGCTGGGTTTTCCTAGTCTGAGATGAATTCTGTGTTTAGTCTTGAACTTTATTCCTAGGATATCTCATTTAAAGCCATATTGTAACATCAGCTCTTTATATTGTAACATTAGATTAAAGTAATTGTGCACAGCATTTCCGTATTTTTGGTAAACCCCTTCCTTTTTTTTTTTTTAAATGCAACCTATCAAATGAGGTCAGAAGTACAATTTTCTATCTAGTCTTACCTAAGGAGATGTCACATTAACGCTCAGAAAGGTTCCGATTCTTAGGCGATGGAATGGGAGAGATTGCTCAGTGTGTAAAGTACTTGCCCCTCAAACTTGAGGACCTGAGTTCATATCCCCCAAGCCCACATAAAGCTGGTTGTGTACTGTCTGTAATCCTAGGGCTCCTCTAGGGAGAAGGGTGGCAGAGAGGAGAGTCGGTGGAAATCGGCTATCCTGACATACTCCGGAGGAACAACCAAAGGAGAGCCTGGCTCAAGTTAGGTAGGTGAGGACTGTACCAAAGGTTGTCCTCTGAGACACACACACGCACACACACACACACACTGTGGCACACTCGTTTGAGCATGCACGTGTACATACATAAAGATTAAAAACTTTGAAAAATGAAAGCCAAAAGAAGCTTTAAAATGTTCTTTCAGGTTTAAAGCCTTTGATTTCTCATTCGAGCTGCTTGGCCTTAGTTAGCTTTGGGGTCGTGTGAGGAGAGCTGTGTCTAGGGCTGGCAGCTTCCAGTTGGGAGCGGCTCTTCTGGAGGGCTTGGCAGCCTCCAGGGATTAAGAGGGCTTTGTATATGCAGAGATTTGTCTTTCACCAAGAGCTGGCTGCTAGCACTGGGGTTTTCCATTCCCATTGGCCTTTCTGTTATGCACACCTCGCCCGCTGGTACTGGAGAACGGGAGACAGAGCCTTGAGCTGTTGGCCTGTGTTAGGGGGAGACGTGAGGCATGACATACTTGTCGCTTCCCCTGGTGGTCCAAGAGGAGTAATTAAGCTTTCTTTTGGAAAAAAAAAAAGATTCTCTTCTGAGTGTATTTCATTTAGCAGAATGCTGCTTAGGTTTCTTTCTGTGCCTAGGAACTGAGAATCTTATGTTTAAAACACCTTCCCAACTATAATTATCCCTGAGGATTTGCTTCTGATAAAAAGGCTTCTGCTGCTACCAGAGCTGGTGGAATTGGAGAGCTATTGCCTTTTTACTCCGGGCACAGCTGGTGACTCCCGATTGGCACTGCGACCGCCAGACCTTGAGACAGTGATACAGGGCAGTGATGCTGATTCTACCAGGGAAGGCCTCAGGGCCTGACCCAGCTCACACCAGAGGGCTCCGCCCTGCTGGACACATCGGCATTCTAGAAGGAGTTGGTATTGAGCTTGAAGACCTGGTGCCTGCTCACTGAGGCGCAGACAACTGCTCTCAGAATGCTGTGCCTCCTGTTACTCATCCTTCTTGGCTTCAGGGTTTAGGGCTCTGCACTCACTACCTCCCCAAAGTGCCCTGGTCAGGATGATTCCAATGCGGCTCCTTGTACGGAGGAGGTCTTCAGAGATGCTTCGGCCAGGTTGTTAGCTGGCCACGTTTGCCAGTTACTCATGAGCTTGCAGTCTTCCCTGTGGATTAAACAGTCATAGCGGGTATTTCCCTCCAAATCCCTTTCCTCTTCGGGGGCACACTGTGTTGGATTGCTGCTGTTAATTTTGTGTCTGATTTTAAAACATGATGCCTTTTTTGAGATAAGGTTTCATGTCGCCTAGGTTGGCCTCAGACTTAACTTTGTAGTTGAGGCTGAACTGATCCTCCTGCCCCTACCTCCCAGGTTCTGGGGTTTAGGCATGTGTCAACATTCCTGTATAAAAATGCATTTTTAGAGATTTGGGTTGTTTTTTTTTTAATTATTTGAAAACATTTTCTACATATGTTTTGATTGTAATCTAACTTCATGTTTTCTCTTCCTCTCAAAGAAAAAAAAAAACAACCCCACAGAAGTCAAAACAAACAAACCCCAATATGACAAAAATTGCCAAACTAAAACAA